TAGCCTCTTCCTTTGCAGAATGGCAGAATGAAAGATGACGCCTAAATTTCGCCAAAAAATCTCGAGATCGGAAACCGTTTGGAGAAATAGAGTTCATCTTGATTTTCCCGAACGTTCAGAGAAATAGTCACGTCGATAATTGTGATATTGTTCTTTTTTTCCACTTGTCTATGTATTGATTCCTCCAACTCAAAAACAGGAAAAATGAGCGTTCATCGAAAAGACATATCCGCAATCTTCATTTAGACCTTGGCCTCGAAACTAGATCTATGATAAATGCCTGTCTGTCTAGACCTAGACCAAGGCCATAGATCTAGAATACCTAAGTATACTCTGAGCCAAGAGAGGGTGCTGAAACTTTCCGAAATCACAAAAGATTTCCCCTACCGGGTTTCTATACTTTGTGACTTTGTTCCTGGTTACCGGGTCTGTATACACTCCCAATTAAAAAATATTTTTTGTTTTAAGTTTACATACTTGGTTGGAGAATAGGCTTCATGACTACAGGCGGCACAATGCCATAGCTGCTCCTCCCTCCCCTCCAGGATCCATGAAAGGGTCTCTGCCTGCTAATCGTGCCAGTTAACAGCTGGTTGGATATTCTTCTGGCTTTTCCACGCAGGCTGCTTGTCTCTCCCTGACCCTCTAGAAACACCAGCTTCCCTTAGACAGATCATTATCATTGTTCATTGTGTGTGAAGTGGTGCCTACATCCTCTCTGTGGCCGTTGAACCAGCACTGTCAATGCTGACATGACTGTTGGTGGATCTAATTGCATGATGCCGCCAATCTCAGCCTGCAGACTACCCTCTTTAAATTTTGGTGTTTCAGAGCATTTAAAATTTTGTTTAGGAGGTTTGCATGTAACGCTTTAAAGCGTAGGTGGTGTACCTCTGGCAAGCATCATTTTCCCCCTTCTCTATCCTGAAGCCGAGTGTCATGCCTTGAGATTACCCCCATCCTCCCTCTTCAACACTTGTAAACATGAATTGTCTGTATTTTTTTACGAATAAGTGGCTATTCCCTCCCCCCCTTCCAAGTGGACACAACTCTAATTCTAGGTCAATATTACTCATTTATTTCTTGTTGTTACAATGAAACCTTACAGTTAATTAACAAATTTTAACATTCAGTCATAGTCATGGTCACTCTGTGTGTGTCTGTGTGAATGTGCGTGTGAGTAAATGTTTGCACGCAAAATTTCTTGCCTTAAAATTACGAGATAATTGACTTTTGAGGATTAGTTTGTCAGACATGAACAAAACCCCCCCCCAACAACCCTGTAAGTTTCTAAAACAGGGGATTAAATATCCCGTAAGATAGAAGACCAAAGGGTGAAGGAATCCCTTAAGTTGGTCTGAAAAGTGAAGCCCTGCGAAGTGACTATTCAGACTCGAGTCGGATTAGACAAAAATAATTATATTCGGACCCTGAATTGAGACCAGCATGACGTCCGTTCCGACTTCTGACCCTTGTTCCTAAATATTTTCAGCTTTTATGAAAAATTTTTGAATTATAATGATGACAATCGAGACGTGAGCTTTAATATCCAATTACTAGATCAATCTAAACTGGCCCTCCCTGCATCATTAGTATGAACATCCAAATTGAGTTGACCTTGCTGGGGGCGAAGTTAATTATGTCAATTAATGAGATTGCGCCCAGCGATCACGCACTCTCGGCTTGCTGGGGGAAGAGGTGTTGAGAAGAAGCGACGGCTGTCGATTTTGTGGGATATGGTTTGAAAAAAAAATTAATTACAGAAAAACTATAACACACAACAAAAATGAAATTAAATATGTGGAAAGACAAATGGTGGTGGAAGTGATAATGATGCTGTAGGTTGGTATGGTTGTGGAAAGACCCTGAGTTGTCGGTTATCGTGTACTTAGACATTGCCATTGGGCAATGAGAGTGTAGTCTTTTGACTTGTGACACAGTACTAGTAGGTAATTCTAGTTCTAATTCTGGTTTTACGTAAAATCCCCCAACGACAGTTATATTATTTATAACCTCCTTACACTCACATTGCTCACTTTGAAGCCGAGTCGGAATAAATAAAACTTTTTTTTTTCGGACCCGAATCCAAATAGATAAAACCCGTATTCTGACTTGAATAGATAGAAAATCTAATCAGACTCGAGTCCGAATAGAGCTGGCCTTTAGGTCATCGAAGAAAAGTATTTTAATTTTAAAAAGTAATGATGATATCTGACATGTTTTTCTCTATCTAGCATCTACGTTTGTAAGTTTGTACTTAATATACACTGAGCAGATAGATTTGCTCTAACTTCCCTTTGCAATGTTAATAGTGTCTACTAAAACGAAAATTCCTTTTTGTTATGCTTAGTGTTAGTTTTTCCAGACAGATTGACTGTCTATACCTGCTTGACGGTGCTATCTTTACATGAACTCTTTTTTTTTTTTCAATTTCACATGGCCGGGACAAAATTTTATATTATTTAGTGACTGTGTGAAAAAACTGTTGCATATGAATGCCAATTTTGTTTTTACCTTTAATGACGGTCTTATCTTTTTCGTTTGGATAGTCTCAGAAATCTGTATGAAAAAGAAAGGGTTATTGATAACTTTAAACTCCCTCTCTCTTTATATCTTTTTTTTACTGTCCATGCAGTATGGCTATATATATCTCTTTGTTTCAATTTCCTTTTTTCCCCATGTTGACAGACTGGTGTGAGAGAAGTAGTCGCCATCAAATGTGTGTTGAAGAGCAGCCTTAATAAGGCATCAACAGAAAATTTGCTTACAGAAATACAGCTGCTAAAGAATCTTAAACATGAGCACATTGTATCTCTCAAGGATTTTCAGGTTTGTCATATATTTAAATAGCTTTTCAAGTTTTGCATATTTTTGAATGAATAACCTTTTTAAAAAATGGGAAACTGCTGACAAATTCAGTAAGAGAGTAGTCCTTTGTCATTCTAAAGTTCCTGTTTATTGTTTCGCCCCTTTTCATTTTTGTTGTTTTGTTAATTAAGTGTGTTAAGCTTCTATATTTGCCATATATATATAATATTATGATCAAATGTCGTGACTTGAATGTCACAGGATACTACTGTTGGTTATTGAAGGTTTCTCAGGTGCAGAAGAAGTTACAACATTCAGGTTCTTTTACAAAGTTGATGGTGAAAGGTGCTTGAAGTTTTTATTTGAATGAGATTTTACTTACTTTACTTTTACTTTTTATGTCCTCATATACTGCAAGGTATCAAGGAGGGATGTAATTGTGGATTGTCGCCAAACATGTTGCTTTGTGGATCATTGTTCTGTGCCTTTGAAGGGTCTCTTTGAATCCATCGATCTATCTTTTCTTTGGTTTTTCAATTTGCTTTGAAGCAATTGAATCGCATTTGTAGGCCATTGAGGCTGGCTGTTGTGGCCCCATTCTCATAGTGTGTCCAAACCACTTTATTTGTTTGGTTTTTTTTAAACATATTTCTTGCTCGATTGAGCACTCTTTTGTTGTCTGATGTCTTTATTTCTTTGTAAAGAATGAGATTTTAATTCCAAAATGTCTTTTCAGGGATATTCAGGTTACAATTTTTGTGACTGAAAAAAATGTATTTATTACTTTTGTTTGGTCATGCTCTTTGAAGATTTCTGTCTTGTGAATTTTGTGACTTTTAACATTTCTGCGGTTGCTCTTAGATTAATAATTCAACCTTTTCATCGACTAATGTTTTGCCAGTGGGACAATAACTACATATACCTGATAATGGAGTTTTGCAGCGGAGGAGATTTGTCACGCTTTATTCGCAGCAAGCGGGCATTACCTGAACACATTGTGAAGAGATTCTTACAACAGATAGGTAGGACACTTTCAAACTGATATTGTTTTTAAGAAACATTATTTTTTACATCTCTACTTTAAAAAAAATTTGTTTGAAGTATTTGTGTCTGCCCTCAATTGTTGCAGTTATTAAAGGACTTTAGTGCACTCAATAACTCATTATGGCTGTTTACCTTTGAAACCAAGACCTTGGCATGTCCCAAATCCCTGTCGTTGGACTAAACAAATGTTGTTTATTAGGCCCAGGGCCACCTGCCTTACAAGATTATTGAGAAATAAGCCTTAAGCTTATTAACTGACCTTTCTAGTTCAAAAGAGTAAGTCTCTTACTATTTTGATGAAAAATATAACTGCCTTAGTTGCCAGATTCATTGGTTTGGATGAAATCATCTGAGAAGAGAGGTTTTTTTACCCCCCCACCCCCTCTTTTTTGTTGTATCTTTGCTTATTTTCTTGAGCTCATCTTGACCCAGGGCTTTGAGTGTTTTATTCAGTGCAATGTTCTCTGAATGAAAATTGACAATATGATAAATATTTGGTGTCATTTTGCAGCATCAGCCATGAAGTTTCTTTGGGACAACAATGTGGCCCACATGGACCTCAAACCCCAGAACATTTTACTCACATCAAGCTCCAGTCCACAAATCAAGTTGGCAGGTGAGTCAACTCTGTTACTCTACTCCGTTCATAATAGGAAAAAAATTTCATTTGTCTAATATCTTTTCAATTGAATTGCACATTTTTAGACGATTTTTAATTATTTCAGAAATTTTTCTGTTGTCATGCCTGGGGGAGGACTTTGACAATCTATTTCCATACAACGGATTGGTGTTGTTTTTTTCTGCTAAAACTACGGTACTTTTTTGTCGTCTGGGTTGAGGCTGGGCAAAATTTTTGCTTCAGGGTCAAGACCCTCAAATCTGGGCAAATAATCATGTGTAACCTTTTTTTTTTCACATCCTTATTGTACATGTAAAATCGTTTGAAAAGAAAGATAGCTGTTCAAATATATACTTATGCTGACATGTCCTGATTATTCGCTTGATGATAGATTTGTGATTAGACAATAATGTTTTTGTAACTTATTCTGTTTTAACATTTTAGATTTGCCAACCATGTAAACTATGAAACTATTATTTGTTGCTGTTTCTTTCTGTTTTAGATTTTGGATTTGCCAAACATCTGTATGATGGTGACAACTTGCATGTGATGAGAGGTTCCCCACTCTACATGGCGCCAGAGATTATCTGCCGAGGATCTTATGATAACAGAGTTGACCTGTGGTCTATAGGGGTCATATTATTTGGTATGGCTGGATGATAACAGATAGTGGATATCTCAAATTTCTATTTGCTGGCTTGTCCTTTCTATAATTTCTTTCATGATTCACAACTTTTGTTTGCCTTACTTTACTGGTCACAATAGCTGGAATTTAGGAGCTTGATATGAAACTGAGTGAGCATAGTCACACAAAATCTGGTTACATGTCCAATCTGTACTCAGGAGGACTGAACTAAAGGGAAAATGCTTCTTTCTGTACATGGGACTCTTAACTTGATCTGCACTTTTTTTAGATGAAAGTTAGTTTTTCTAAAGAGTATGTTGATTTTTCACCCACAGGTATCAAATGTTTGCATGAGAAAGACAAGATGGAAATGAATGTAAATGCTCCTTGTTTTTAGTTTTAGAGATAATAGGTCATCTGAAAATGCGTGGCACATATAGCATATCATCTGCACTTCTTGATAGAGCTAACATTTTGAGCCGAAAGTTTTGAGAATAACAGAGATGTTGCTTGTTTGAAAACATGGTAAAATTTTCCGCATCAAAATATTGATACTGTCTGGTCACATTTATTGAAAGTGCTCCCCCCTTGTTTATTTACAGAGTGCCTGTTTGGGAAGCCTCCATTTGCTTCTAAAAGTTTCAAGGAACTTGGAGAGAAAATATGGGATCAAAAACCTGTAGAGGTTAGTATACATGGTTTGCAGTGAAATACAGACAGATAGTTAATATAGTTGAGGAAATTTAAAAAATAAATTACATGATATATCTTTTACAGTCATATAATCTGAAAGCTTGAAGTATTTGAACACATTTTCATGAACAGATGAATCACGTTTGTGATTGTCATTCACAGTGGGACTGTTCTAAATTGATAATTGTTCCATCAAAGATGTTGGTAAAAACGCTTTAGGTTGAAGAGGGTCAGAACTCTTTGAGAAACTTCGCTTACTGGTCCTAACACACCTGTATTTTTACCCTTTTAAATCCAGTCTTGTGTGTTGGCCTTCTACGGGAGGTATTTATTAACTCTTTATCTCCGGCAAGCCGCTCCCAGCGACTTGCGGTCGTAACCACTGCCGGTAAGCGGTTCGAGTACATTCCTTTACGACGTCTTCAACATCAAATTAATTTTCGGCAGTTGCCAAAAACAGTTCTCTTTTATCGGGATTTCATTTATTAGATGAAGAACTATTAAAATAGGTTTACTTATTTTGATTTAATCACAAATTTAGTGACGATTTTGTCATTTTTAGATTTAGTACCAAAAACGGGCCCCGGCATAGTAGGTTTACCCTCCCACGGAGATAAAGAGTTAATGTACCTGGGTACTCTCATTTTACATCTTCAAATTTCCAGATTCCTGCAGGCTTTGATGTATCTGGAAAAGCGAGAGATCTCACACTCCGTCTGTTACAAAGACAGCCAAGGGACAGAATCACATTCGAAGAGTTCTTTGCACACCCATTTGTTGATATGAAACACATTCCTTCAAAAGACTCTCTGCCAAATGCTGTGAGTACCAAGAATTTGTCCTTATTAGCTGTGTCACCCTAATTTTTTTGTTTTATTTGAAATCTATTTTAATTGTGGAGTATATAGGGGAATGACCTTTTGAACCCTGTTAGATGCGTGACCATCAGTATAGTTGCTTTCACTTTTTTATGAGAAGAGTCTATTAGAGGATAGCATTGAATAAGTAAAAAAAATTATGGTAACAGAGCTGCTGGCTATTACATAACATTGTATTTGATACATTTTCAAGGGTCAGAGAACAAAGATCCATATTAATGCCCCAAAATAGATACAGTATCCTGTGTTTTATAGTAGTGCCCCTCATGGACTTGCTGATGCTGAAGAGAAAGTGTGAACTTTATGACTGGATTTACAAATGATAATGAGAACAATGCCCATAAGTGAATAAGAGTTGTGTCCATTTCCATATTTCACACCTCTGTTGCAGGTGCATTTTGAATAACTTGAATCTGTTGAAAACTTGAATTTATGGAATGTAGAAAAGTGTGTGTGGAGGATATCAAGGATCTTTTAACTTGTGCCACCATTTTGACCCGATTTGTTGATAGAGTGGGGGTTGTTTTTGTTTGTTTTGTTGTTGTTGGGGGGTTTGTGGGGAGGGGGGGAATTGACAGTCATATGAGTAATGGACCTGTGAAACTGTTCCTGTGAAATTAATCTATTTAGACATGCACAGTTTGTTGCATTCGAATTCAAACTTATATTTCAGCTTTTGACGGTGCAAAGAAGACTACGACAATTAGTTTTGTTTGTGGAATAGATTTTTAAAAGAATATTTGTACTAAAATGTCCTAGTTAATGGAACAGAAGTAGCAGTTGGCACCACTCATAAGGTTTCTTCTGGGTTTTTTGCAGGTTGAAACAGTGTCTAAAGCGATAAATAAAGACAATGAAGGAGATTATAAATCAGCAGTGCGGTTATACTGTGAGGCTTTGGAGTATTTCATGCCTGCTATACACTGTGAGTTTGTTTTTTTAACTTAATATTCAATCAATCTAATATCATGTATTTTTTATATCATTGTTTTATCACCTCTTTTAAATACTGCATGTAACACAATGGAGTTTGCTTTAACTGAAATCGGCTGGACCACCGCATTTTCTTTGGTTTTGTTGAGTTTTTAGTTTAGAGAGGTTGCTCAAATTGGAGTAAAAATTTGGAGGATTTTATTTGCTTTCGTTTTGCCACTGTGTTCAGATGAACCATGTTTGATTTAAGCAAACTCTACTGTAGTTGTTTGGGAGGAAGCTCAACCTCTCAAAGATGATTGCTCTGCTGTCAGGCCCGTGGATGAAATATGATTGCTCTGCTGTCAGGCCCGTGGATGAAATATGATTGCTCTGCTGTTGCCTTAGTGCTCAGCAGCTGAGGTTCATCTTCTTGCTTTTGTAACTGCCTCAATTTGCTCTCAGTTGGGAGTTATGGCTTCTGTAGCTGTTTTGGTGACATAAGACAATTGTTATTTGAGGACATTGTCAAGTTTGATTGATATTTGTGTTGAGAAATGTCTAATGTTACTTATTCAGATCATAAAAAATGGAAAATAATAACAAAGTGTATTTGTTGAGGAAACGGATGTCATTTCTAAAAGATTATTATAACTGTTATGTAAATTTATTGTCTTCTGTTTTCATTCATCAGATGAAAAGAGCACCCAGAAAAAGGAGTCATTAAGAGCAAAGGTATGTCTCCACAATGTTTTAGAATTAATGTGTCTTGAGCTAGCATTTGGTACAATTGTTGCCATTGCTCCATTTCCCCTTTGCTGTAAGGGCTCAGTCCTACATCAGAATATCTGGAATTATTTCAGTTCATGTCTTAATGTTGTTTGCTTCATGTTTGTGATATTTTTAAAAAAAATTGTTTTGCTTTTGCATGGGGAGTAACGAACTGTTTATTTTTTTTGTGTCGTTTTGTAAAAACAATTAACTAATTTTGTTATTGCTATATGATGTAGATGTGCTTTTGCTTTGTGTTTTTGTATCACAGGTGAAGGTCTACATAAACCGTGCTGAGACACTTAAGCAACTGATGAAGCCACACTCAAGTTCCAGACCACCGAGACCGCCTCCACCCATGAGCCCTTACAAAGCGTCCCCCACCAGTAGTAATAAATCCACTTCAAAAGACTCGCCCCATCATTCGTCTCAGAAGTCTAAGTCTCCAGAAACATCACCAGAATCAAAAGCAGTCCCATCGGCTTCCAAGACGCCCAAACCAGATTTGTTGTCTGACCCTGTGGAGAAGTCTTCTGCAGATGGGTCTCCAGGGTCCAGACCTGAAGAGAATACATGTGCGGAGTCGTCCCCACCTGGTGCAGTCAACAACTCTCCATCCTCTACCTCCCAGTCGTTTGCCAGATCCATGTCCAATGATGTGCTGGAAGAGCTCAGTAAGTTTTTGTCTCCAACTGAATTGAAATATGAACAGTTCTCTTTCACATGTTTGTACAGAAACAAGATTTTATGTGAGGTTCATAAGGCAAATTTGTAATGAAGTAGACAGGCAGGCTTTGGAATATGTGGAATAAGATATGGCTACCAGGATGTGGCACTTAGAGCAAAGTTGAAGGTTATACAATATCTCCGTTTATGGTCCGGGTTCGCTTAAGATTCTGCTGTTTTAAGCTAACAGAATTTTTACTACACGAAAGTCACCCCTAAGGTCCTAAGATCCTGCACTGAAGGATTACATTTGGCCAAGATCCTGCATTCCAGATAATAATCTAGGGTATAAAAAGTCGGGCAGGCACCGCTGATCAACCAAGCAGACAAAATTTGGGTAATTTTACTGCTCATGAATGTGATCTCTGCTCCATTGTAGATCTCCATGAAATGGTAGGCCTACAATGTTTGCACCAAAAGGGATCTCACCAATATGTGAACTCGTTTACACATTTGTTTTCCCCAAACATTGCTCTCGCATCTGAGCTCTCCACTTGAACTTACATCTCAAGCTGGGTGGGTAGGACTATCAATTCCACAACAACACTTCGGTGTTTTGTTGTTTTTTTTAACCATTGCAGCAGTTGTCTCTGCTCATGAATTTGCCAGACTGTCTTAATTTGAGTTGGTCCGGTCCAAGGAAATTATAAATTATTCTAAGGCCCTTAACACTTTCCATCCACGCAGCACGCAGAGCACACCACCTTTGTCCCCTCATGCCAGAGTACAGATGAAGTACATCTGTACTATACCTGTATCTCAGCAAAAATACCCCGACCATTATGAAATTTTCACCAAATTGAAAAAATTGAACATGATGATTACATCATCATCATTGCCTTTTTCACCCTGGATCAGGATATGGGCTAAGAAAAAACACTTTCCACCTTTCCCTATCCTGGGCGAGTCGCTTGATGTCACTCCATGTCTTCCCACTTTTCTGTACATCCATTTCCGTGAAAGTTAAAAAGTTTTCTAAAATATTAAGAAATAATGGAAATAATCAGTTTTTTGCTTCTCCTGTAAAATTTTGTCAGTGGCGCTTAGGGGGTGTATGCACGACGGCAACGATATTGCACTCATGCTTCTTAATACTTTGCTGTCACTTTGCTCATATTGGGCCTGTGAAAATGTCCGTTCGGGTCACCTGGCACAGTTCTGCGCCGGACCCGAGAAGTCCGTTGCAGTCACTCTCCAGACTGGGTGACCAGATGGGGTATTTTGTACTGTGTGACTGCAAAGTGTTAAGGGTTCCTTATACTGTAATAAGCATGTTATAGGCACTACAAGCATAGTGAGTCTTTTCATTGATATCTGTTTGAGACCCAGTACAATTTTTTTTCCGTTAGCAAATTCTGCAAAATTGGTACCGGTACATTTTTGATATTTTCAACATTGTTTTGTTATGTGGGTTTAGCTTTTTTTATGAGTATGTTAAGTCCTCCAAGATATAAAATTTTGTAATCAGAAGTCACTGAGTTGTAAACACTGTCTCCTCACTGAAATGCCTTTAATGTGTCCAGCATATTGCAACAAAATGGTAATTTAACTTTTTTTCCCAGTGTCTCTTTGCTCTGATTCTCAAGAGCTCATGGCAGTGCTGAAACTTGTGAATGCTGCCATCTTAGAGGTAATGTCAGAACCATTGTTTTTTATGCTGTTGACTCAGTTCACAATATGTTGCAAGAATATTATTATCATGCTCTCACTCAGCAATAAGTTTTAGGGGGGGTGCTTCTAGCAGTTTCTACTTCTCTCTTAAAGTTTAAAAAGAGTGATCCTGTATAGTCATGTTTCCCCCTGAAAGCTTCCACAACTCCACAGTAACTCCTTTGACAAGAATGTTCAGTCTGATTTTTATCATTTTAATCTCTTGGAATACATACAGTATCTTAGCCTGTTGCAAATAGTTCTTTCGTTTGCGTATTTGGCCTCTATCAGCTGTCAAGTACTTGTGTGTCACTGGGTTAGCTGAGGAAAATAAGTTTTAGTACATTTTGTAAGAATGAAACTTTAGGAATCAAACTCACAACTTTTTTATTCTAGTCCAGCACATAACTTCTTGACTCCTCCTTTTTCACCTACAAGGCCACACATTGACTTGGAAATTTTTCGCTCGTCACCTGGTTGCGAAGTATGGTGAGCGGGCAAAAATCACCTCGTCTGCACACTCACAGCTGCATGACAAGGAGAAATTGTGTATGTCGTCTTGCATTTTCCCGGCCCAAAGGATTACCATTGTGCTGATGTTTGTCTCTTGATTGTACACCAATAAATTGTTCTCAGCATGTTTGTCATTTGCAGCATTAGTCTTTTCGTGTGTTGTTTGGCTTCATTTCTTTTCTATTAGGTTTATCTCTCCGTCAATGATCTCTCTTGTTCTGTTTCCAGTCTGCCTTGTTTAAATTTTTTTTCCTTTTTTAGGTCTCCTTTTCAGTGCAATATGTTGTCTATCTATTCTCTTCGTTTATTTTTTACAATAATATATATTTATAATTGGGGTGGGAAGGGGGAGTTGAAAGCGAAATAAGGAGGTTGGCATATTCCTCACTTTTGAATATAATTGGCACACTGGTTGTTATTATCGTGTCATTTCATGAACTATGACTCAGACCCAACCGCCAGAGTTGATTGTTCCTGCTTGGAAACTAAATCTATCTGTCTTCATGAATTGTTATTGGTTATAGCGGGAAGTACATTACAAACTGTCTTTATCATTGTTTTCAATGAAAATTTTATATTTCTAATCTTACCCATCTGTTTCCAGGAACAAGAGGAGAATTATGAAAGCTGCCTTCATCATTATGAAATTGCTTTGGGAGCAGTGCTGAAGATTTTACCAAGTGAGTTCGTTATATAGATGCTTTTGCAAAAATTTATGGAAACTGGGAGAGAAAATTTAGAACTCTTTCCTCAACAATGAAATTCAAATTTGCAAATATTGTCTTAACTGATTCCGTCCATGATTTTTTCAGGCTCTGGACAGCATAATTTTCCCTGTTCAGTTTTAGACCTGGGGTGCATCTATTTAATGCATTACTGTGAAGCTCTAAGTTACTCTAATATGTATTGTCATATACCAAACTGATGGGAATAAATAGAAGAATCTGTTTATATTAATAACAATGACCTATAATCTGTTTGTATTGCATTTTCCTTCTGACAAAAACGAATGAGAAAAAAAAATTGCGCAACAGCTCTTCGAAAATTTCGACTTACCGCATTTTCTCAGCTCTACGAGTCCTTATAATCCATAGGAATCAACACAACATTGTAGCGATATCACCCTAGCACACATTTATGCAAGAATTTCACAAATTTAGTTGAATATCTTTCTTTGAAGAGCCCTTTTATTATACCAGGCTCCGTGTTGTTTACTCTAAGATCTAGCCTACGTCGCGACAACAAAACAACGCTCAGAGATTGAGGTCAGGTTTGTTTACAAGTTCTACTTCCTTTCGACTACTTAAAAAGTAGGAACTATGTTAAAAAGTGCACCTTTGCTTCGGATTTCGTTGAGCCGCTCACAGTGGCCGAATGGAGGCAGCGGAAAAACTCCGAGCCGCTCTCAGCGGCCGAATGGACGGAATCAGTTAAGAGAAGGATTACTATGATGTGTTGTCTAATCACAAACATACATATGTAGTTATAGATGGTATAGCTCTCTTCTCTCCCTTCACTGCCACAGCCCGCCACAGTTTCTGGTGTGTCAAGCAGGGTTATTCTCGGCCTAAAGGTGAAATGGTTTAACTCTTTGATTTCAGATCACCACTTAAGTGGTGTTTTTGTTCCACGTTTCAGCAGATGGCCACTTTGGGGGGTATTGATTTCATCGCCTGGTCTTATGCTACATTTACGACCTGTTTTCACCCACATTTTGATTCTCCATATAATTTTAAATAGCTTGAGTGCTCACACTAACAAAAATATCAATATAATTTGACTGAAATAAAGCCATTGTAAGGTAACACCCCCAAATTGGGTGCATAAAATAGAGGAATCACTTGCATACTGAAAGAGTTCTTGTTTTTCGGCAGTTGATTTAGAATTTTAGCTAATGCTCACAGGACTTGATAGTGTTAGGTTGTGGGTTCATTTTGTCTCACAACTCAAGCTTTAAGTTGGCTAAAAGCTGATTTGAAGAGAATATCATGAAGTGAATCCTTTAGATTATAACAAGTCTGGTTGTCCTTTGATCTCCCTTTTGATCATATGTATTTTTTCAATTATGTTAATTTATTATTATTGTTATTTGTTACAGGTAATTGCTAATCAATATGTAAAAAAAAAAAGGGCTTATTTCATTGTAATGTGTTTTTTTAGGGTCTGAGTATGCAAGGCCCTTTTTTTTTCATATCCGAAATATGTATTCCCTTTTTTCTTGTATTGCTCCATACTAACTTGCCTATGTTTGAGAAAAATTATGAACTTTCAAGACCAGATTTGCGAATAATGAGAATGAAGTCCATTAGTCAATTGGAGAGATCTTTTGCTGCTGGTCTACTTTAAATAGCTTGCATTTATTAAATGCAAAAAAGTGTGTGTGAAGGGTGTGGAGGGCAGTTACTTGGCCAATGCCCTTTGCCCTGACCTGCCATATGGATAGAGTCTGTTATTTAGTTTAGAAAAGTGGACAACTATGGTTATATTTACTAACTTTATTTTTCATGACCTTCGCCAGATGAGCCAAAAGGAAAGAGAAAAAATCTCATCAATGCTCAGGTCAGTTGTTGTTGGATTTTTTTATGCATCAGTTGAATGCCGAGAATCAGACTTTCATTATTTCTTCAGCAATTTTTTGTGTTTGTTTTATTCTGTGGAAATGCTTTGCTTTAAGAATGGATGTAGATCATTAAAGAGAGAATTCCATTACAGAAGTGTTTTGATTTGTATTAAGCATGTTTTGGGGGGTGGGGGGGGGGGGGGGGGAAAGGGAAAACCTTGCTCAAAGGCTAAAACGGAGATGGGACTATCCGCTAAACCATGATGCGGATTTCAGGCACCACAACTTCTGCACACTCAACTGCTGTCTTCATTTCGCCTCCGAGTTTGTAGAAACCAAGCCGAAATATAGTTCTAAAATATAAAATTAATTTTGATGTGTGAGCATCAGCAGGAGGGTTGTTTATCATTGGCACATGCTGTTGAAAGCATTATGGAGAACTAAAGGTTTTTAACACATTTGTCTGTGCAAGGTCACTTGCGTACTTTCTCAAGATAACTTTCTCAAGATAACTAGTGCACTTTAGCTGTCTTCAGGTTACATAATTCTCTTTATCACAAGCATGTACTCCTTGATTCTAGGTGGTGAAATGGATGGATAAAGCTGAACAGATCAAGTCCTACCTGGAAGTGCTGAATCTGAACACTCAGGATACCTCTGTAGAAGATGAGGAGGAAGAAAATCTTTTGATGAGTAAGTTCCCTCCTGTGTCTGCTGCACGTCAAAGTGACTCCCGCATTTCTTCACTCCACTCTATGTATTTCATTGTTGTTGCCATTTTTATCAATATTTTCAGATTTATTTATGGAATTTTCAAAAAAAGGACATAAATTATCTTATTGCTCTTTTTTTAGTTTGTTTTTATTTTCTCTTGCTTACAGTTCAAAACATTACTTTTGTTGGTGCTTTTGAACAAGTGTTTTTGATTGTTATTTGTTATGCTATTATGATAGACTTCTTTGTTATAAGTGTTCAAGTCAAAAGTGATTCCAATGATTCCAAGTATTAGCTCAAGTTTTTGTCAAGCTTGCTGTGCTGTAGGGTTCTTGATAGTTGTACACTATAAATTCCACCAGCATGTTCAAACTTTTTGCATGGGGATGAGTGATATTTTAATTTCAAACTCGCCGGTGTGAATGCTGTTGTTTGCTGGTATGGATTGTCTTTTGTTTTGCAGGCGTTTATTATTAAACCATAATGGCTGTATGTGGTATTTTAGACTACAAGAATGTATATGTTTGCTTCAATATGGTCTTATCTTCAGAATTTTTCATAGATTTCTATTAATCAATTTTGATTTTGCTCTTAAAATTTTGTTGGGTTTTTTTTGCATGTTTATTTATCATAGCTACCATTCTTTGTACAAGTTGCCTACGTTAAAGATCCCTTGATGATCTAAAATTGGTAAGAGTAGGCTTCAGCCGCCATGTGGGCAAAATTAAAAATGTCCCACCAATTGAAAATGTTTAATGTGTTTTGCATGCTCATATACCCTATGCAGTTGCAAGCACCGTAAAACACTTACCCCCCAAAAAAGAGCCCAGTGAGACTCTGTTAAAAGTTCTTTTTTTGCTTCTTATGTGCAATGTACCAGGCTATTGGGAAATAAACCCCTGCTTTCCCTTTGTAGTTTATCATGTCTTCTTTTCATGTGGCATGGGAAGCTTGCAGATGGTCAGTGGTTGCTGTGGTGTGGTCTTCTCTTTCTAATTTTTTCAGTATTGTTATGGTCCAGCTCTATCATGGCAAAGTGTTTCTGTTATGCTTCTGAATGAAGATATGTGTGGCGTCATGTTGAAATCAGCAGCTCATCAAAATAATGAAATAAAAAAACCCTGACATTTTACGACCCTTTGGGCAATTATTATTGAATTGTTTATTTTGGGTTCTGCACCTATTATGTCCATTTACGTTGTCCAGTGTAGATTTTACTGAAAACGTGGACCAAAGGCATACAAAATGTAAATTTTCAGTTTCTAAGGACACTACAGTTTTGGAAGTCACCAAACTTCAACACCATTTTCTCACTAATTTTACCTCTGACACCAGACGACCCCCACCTTCACTTGTAAATATCACAAAGATAGATGAGTATTTTTATAAATCAAAAGAAGGGTGAATGAACAGGCTGTATCAAGATTATACCAATAACTCCAAATGCCCAAAAATTGTTGAGTGCCTTTTTCCTCTCTTTTATGACATATGTACTATGATCATCAATTTCACAAACTTTTATTTTCGCTTTGTTGGATGTTTTTTCAAGGTGTCCTAAGCTGCCTTATTCTTTTGTCCTTTGTAAATTGTGTTGTGCTTTTATGACTAATGTTCTGCCCCAGTCACATCATCATAAACATGTTTGTAAAACTTTTAGCCCCATACTGTTGATGATTTTGACTTTCTTTCTCTAATCTGTGTTTTTTAAATCTAAATTGTGTCGAAATATGAGGTTATAAATTATAAAAACTCCTACATTTTAAAACAAGTTTCAGTGTTTGTTATTTTTACCTGTAATCTGTCAATTTTGTAGACTGCCTTTTTATGAAAGACCTGTCCCTCTGGGTATTTTCAGTGGTGGTGATTTTGTTATCTTTGATAATGTTCTGTTTTTGTGTTTTCTACCAGTTTGCATTCTTTATGTTCTTTATTGGTCATAGCAGAAAAAAATTCAATTTGTAGGAGAGAAAGAAAAATGATCCTTGAAGGGAAAGTGTGCTCACATTTATCATCATTACATTTTCGAAAGAACAACTGGCTTCACAACAAATCACCCTCCATATATCAAACAGAATTGACGTGACTGAGCTGTTGTTATGACTTGGCCATTTTCTATTTCAGGTCAGTCTAAACAGTGTTGCGTTCAGTGACATAAGCATGTGAGTCATGTCTGGCAACAATGTCTCTCTAGCCCATCAGCTGTGTGCAGTTGGAGGCTTTGGATTTGAAGTCTTCCTGCCTACTCGTCTGATTCATGGTAGAAGATGTTCTTGAGGGTTGTAGAAGATACACATTTTGGGGATTTGGAAATCACTTGATGGTGTTCTTCATGCATAATGGAATGAACAAACTTGTCTCAGTAACGTAACGTATTGGATTGTTAAAATATTGTTTTAACTTCTGAATTGTACACTTCGTTGTTGCATATTTCAATTAACTGCTTGGTTGACATCAGGGTTTTTATAAATTTCCCTGTTTTTTTTGTGGTTTGTAGGAGGAATGTCTTTCTTTCATTTTGTCAAAGCAATTTTTTAAAATGAAAAATCTTTGTCCAGATCGCACTTTCCTATTCCCATGTTAACAGAGAAAATAGGCAGTATATTTTTAAAAATGAGTGTGACAACTTGGGTGGAAAAGTTAAAAAGTCTTGGGATTTTTTTCTTCTTGTTTACCAGTGTCTCGGTAAACAGTTATAGATGCCAAAAATATTCAGGTCAACACATGAATAGATGCCCTCCCTGTTGTCAATGATGTGTGTAAAGTAGCATAGACTTTCTCATTGTGAGAAGAGCATTACTTGGTGTACTGTGATCTGTACATGAAAATGTAGGTCTTTGCTAGTTTATGTGAAGAAGATTATATGATTTGACCAGTGCAGAATTGCTATGTGGAAAGAATGTGTTTTTGCAGGATTAGTGATTTGTACATGTTCTTCAGTAGCACACTGTTCTTTCTTTGAACTTTCAATATTTTGTTGATCCATTTTCCCAGTATTTTGCTTCTTTGGAACAAAAAAATAGCAAATCTGAGCAATTATACTAGGAGACATTCATGATTTCACTACAGAATCTGTTTGCAGAGTAGATCATAGTTTTGTTATTTGTTGCATTCTGCAAAGCAATGTTCCTTGGTTGTTGGGGGGGGGGTTTTCATGGGTCTATAGTGAACCTATTGTTGGATTTTAGTGTTAATCAAATGAAGTAGTGGGGCTCTCGTGGCCTAGAGGTTAAGGTGTTGGCCTCTCATTCAAAAGGTCCCGGGTTCGAATCCGGTTAGCGACCGAAAAATTTTCTTCTCTAAATTTGTCTCCTTTCACCTCATGTCTGCTCTCTAGCAATGTTCTGTCGTCTCCTCTTTCTGCCCCCACCCCCTCACCTCCTTTGCCCCTTCCTCTAGGCTCCTGATTCTTTCTGCAGCCTTTCTACTGCTACTCCTTCGCTTCTTCTTACTGCTGTCTTTCAGCCACACCCCTGATCTTCTGGTAGGAAAGATCTACACCTAGCCTTCTCGGACAAGGGCGAAAAATCTCGGAGGGCCCGTGTGCAAGTTGCGCACGTTAAAGATCCCTTGGTGGTCTAAAATCGATAAGAGTAGGCTTCGGCCGCCACCCGGGCAAAATTAAAAATTTCCTATTAACTGAAAATATTAAGTGTGTCCCGCGCGCTCATATGACCTTATGCAGTTGCGAGCACCGTAAAACACTTTACAAAAACAAAAACAAATGAAGTAGTGGGGTGCAAGCTGATAAAAACAATCAGGAAAAAACAATTGCTGTAACTGGGCCACTTGAACAGACATAAAGGCCTTGAACATCTAGCTCTCATGAGGCAGGGGTAGTAAATCAGGTAGATCCAGAGCCACTTACTTGGAGAGTCTAAACAGAAGGGTAGGTAAAGGGAAAAGATCAGGATATTGTAGCTTTTTTGAGAGCATCCGAGCAGAGGAATGAATAGAAAAACCATGATCGCTGATGTCTTTTACAGATTTGATGATGATAAGACACCATGTGGTATTGTTAAAATATTTTCTGAGCGTGCAAACAAGCTGGATGTTTCGAGATAATGTCTTTGGTTTTCTTTTTAGTACTTGCAGTCGTGATTTTTGTACTTTGAATTGTGATTTTTGGACTTTGAATTGTGATTTTTGGCATTGTGATAAACTGCCTCATTGTTGATTTGAAAGGAGGAGGAGGGAGGGGCCCCTGAAAACCAGAATGTGGTGAAATGTTTGTATGTAAAACTGTCATTCATGTAATATATATATGTGTGTGTGTGTGAGGGGCATTGTGGTGAAATAAGGGGCTTGTCAAAATTATGAAATCAGAGAAACGGCATTTTCCTAGGCGTTGGGCAATTTTTTTTCTTCAAATTTTTCTTTGTTTAGTTCAACACTTTTTATGTCTTTTAAAAACACATTTATGTGAGGATTTTACTGAAAAATGTTGATAAAAGCCAAAAAACCCCATAAATTTGCAGTTTCCAAGGAAATTAATCTGTGGAAGTCACTAAACTTTGGCGGCCATTTTCTCACTAATTTTACCTCTGACATTATACCACCCTCACCTCGTTCAAATTTCCTAACTTTTATTCAAGAAAGATGGATTTTATTTCACCAAAAGCAAGACAAATGAACAAGCTTTAAGATGGTGTCTATAACTCCATATGCCTAAAAACTGACGTGAGCTCTATTTCACAGCGTCCTAACACACGCACACACATATATGAGAGAGAGAGAGTATGAGAGAGTGTGTGAGAGAGAGAGAGAGAGAGATGTCCAGCCTTTTCTGAGAGTGCGTTTTTACAAAATGAATACAGGGAGTGTGCTGTTGTTTTTTTAGGAAGTTTTAATTGTTCTTATTTTATGGTGAAAAAAATATCATTTTCACTTACAACCAATTTTAGGTTGATCTTTTCAAAATAATCTAGGAACTTACACCTCCAATGCATTACCATTTTGAACCTGGGTACTTTGTACCAAAGTGAAAGGGTTGCGAGTGGAATTTCTTTCGCACCCTCATTTAGCTGAGAAAGTCACGTAAAAAATGTGTCGACATGGTAGTAAAAAGGAAAGTTGCTTGGTATTTCATGATAATGCAAAATTGTAACTTACACTTGGCAAATTGCTTCAGGTGCTGCCCCTCTCCACTCCTGCCTCCCTCTCCATCCTCCCCTCCCTTAAAGCATAAATACATTGTTCCATTTTTGCCAATAGAATGCGGAATCAAAAAGCAACAGTCATGCAGAAATGTCATGCCTGTGTCATGTGATGCTGTGCCTCCCATAGACATCAAAATCAGGGTGTGTGTTTTTGTTTCGTGTTTGTGAGAGGCTGTGAGCAGTATATTTAGTATATGAGTGTGTGTGTGTGCGTGAGTGTGTGCATGTGGGTATGTGTACATGCATGTGTTGCTGTATGTACAAAATGTGCAGAGTTTGTTCAAATGTTTTATGCCAATATCATCATAATTCAGATAATTTTGGAGGAACACATCTTCAATCCAGCCTGTCTGGACCAATATAGGTTGTGTGAGAAACTCCCCAGCACTAAGGAGATGCTCAATAACGTATTTTCCCCACTCAGGAATCGAACTCTGAGCCTTCTTTTGCCAGGCAGAGAGCATAATCATGATTCTACAGGTACTGGTTGTCTGCTAGGTAAATGCATAGAGAGGAGTTTGAATATGTTGGCTTGGATGACTGTGTGTGTGTGGCCTCAGTGGTTTTGTGTTTAGGAGATTAGTTTTTGTGCTTTACATCCTACAATTTCTTGCCTTCTTTCTTTGATGTAATTTTCTCACCTCTGATTTTATGTTGCAACTGAATTAACTGACTGTCATTCATAATCTCCTACAACAGGACACTAGAGCATTACAATGATGTACAATATATATAAAGGTATGGGCTGCTGGTTGTGTGTGTTCTTTTCCTAGTGGCAATGAGATCTGTGTCGTCCTTTGGTGCTCAAAGTGCGTTTGTTCTTGTCTTTGGTTATATTACATGGGCTTTCAAAGTATCAAACATGTTTTATGCAATGCATTCTGTAAATATATTATATATATATAGTAATGTACATGTACACGCAATGCTAGAAAACGGACTTGAATTTTAAACTACAATCTCATTGTGGCTACACGTTCCATCACACAAGCCTATGTGTGCCATTCACTGCAGGCACAGGCACAGTTACACCTACTGTGCCTTTTCATGGGTTTTCACGTTGCTTTTGAATGAAGTTGTTCTTTGCAGGTAGATGTTTAGATTAGAATATAAGTAATGAGTGAGCTTAACTTGCATTGTTTGAAAACGTCAGCTCCGACAGAGCTTGTCTCTTCCTTGAAGTCAGTTTACCTAGACCATAAGTCAGCTCTTGTATTTTTATAACTTTTCTACTTCCCTGTCCCGCCCAGTCACTTAGGAATGATTTATTTTGTTTTCTTAATGTGATATTGAGTGGTCAGTCAAATCAGGTTTTATATATGTGCTCCCTTTAACCTTATTATAGGCTATCTCTCTATGTTGTTCCATGCAGGGTGTTGTCTATGTTTGAAGTGGGACTAGTAAAAAAAAAGAAGTAGATGCCAGGATCTCTTTATATTATGTAGCTTTTTTTGTGCCTATGAGTATTAGATTCTCTTCCTCTTCTCATGTTTTCACAGTAGGCAAAAGTAGGCCAGACAGTGACAGCCGTTATGAACCAAAGGAAGGTTCATTCATTCTTTTTTCTTCTATTGATATGACAGATAATGACTAATATTTTGGGGAATAGTTGTATGGTATATTGATGAGAGTGCTGCGCTACTTATTATTCTGTGGTTACTTAAATGTTTCTGTGCTTGTCTTGGAAGTTGTGAGGAAAAGTCTAGGATACTGATAAGAGCTGAAAGTTTCATGGCATGTACGCTTTTTTTTTTTTGTAATAAGGAAATATCATTCCGGCTGTGTAAGAGTTACTAATGAAAGTGAATGAAATTAAAATTTATGCTGAAGATTAGTATTTCAACAGTGTGTGCATTGCTTTATTTTTAATTTATGTTTTCTATGTGAAACGTTTCAAAGGCCAAGTGTCTGAAAGTTTTGTATTTCTCTTTCCTGGTCCAGCAGTCAGTACTAGTGTCGATTATGATTATAAATAAAATCAATAAATAAATTAAAAAGTAAAATTTCACTTTTATTGATCCCCATTGGGAAGTTTAGTTTACAATAGCATAACATAATCTACATATATATAAATACATACTGAGACATACAGATAATATAACGCCATTGCTGGTCGCCGCTGTGCAACGCCTCATTTTTTAGTTAGGGTTATCATGTCTTGCTCAAGGACACATCCCAATGACCACCAACTAAAACATCAATGTAACTGACGCATTTTGGACATTTATTGTGAGGAGGAGGGTGCGGTGGCGGAGTGGTTAGTGCGCTCGTCTCTGAAGCGGAAAGTCGGGGTTCGAGCCTCAGTTTGGACACTGATTATTTTTTCGCCCCCTCCTACCCACCCAGCAGTAATGGTTACCTGATTTCGAGTTGGGGAAGTAAAGGCGTCGTGGAAAGGAACTGGCCACCCTACCACAATATGTCGAAGGCCCAGGAAGTTGTCTCTTTAACTTTAACAAGGCAATCCCCAGTGTCCGGATTGGATGCGGGAACAACTTTACTTTCTATTGTGAGGAGAGGAGAAAGGATACAGTGGAACTCGGATTCAACGAGAGGAGATAGATTCCCCGGTTTTTTTCTTCTTTAAAATCAATAAAAATAACCCGGATTCAATGAGCACTTAAATCAGCGAGCTCGGATTCAACGAGGTCGCTACCAGGGTGAACAGCCCCCGCAGACGTGGCTTTGCTAATTTTTCTCCAAAAACGAACTTCATCTATTCCCGGAAACCATCCATTGCACCTGCATCGTGAACTATCATTCACTTAGCCGATTGCATGCGACAAATCAGCGGCCTTTTGTCATACCGACACATGCGTTATTGGCACGCGCACGTGTCTACTCTGGCGTGTGTTGGGGTCAGATGGGCGGCCTGCTCACGTCGTGTGGTTGTGTGTGCATGTCGGGGAGGGGGCGGGGCACTAGCGGTTCGGGCGTTGAACGTCGCAGATACAAACACGCCAGTCTTCTCACCCCCCACCCTGGCAACTGATCATTATTACAATGATAAGCTAGTCTTGACGTAGATCCACATGATGAATTGTGCGCTGGTCTATGGAATCAAAAATTGCTGTATGCTAGGCTGTACACAGCAACACAACTTTTTGACAAACAATCGAGATGACACAAGTGTGCATTTGAATGAATCGGTCTTTTTTTTTTTACACAGCTCATAATATGCAGGCATTTCAGGCACTACTTGTTACACGTACAGTGTACTTCTGTTTACACATTACTTGCTCAGTGCCTGTAATTATCTACACAAAACCTCATGTTTGCTATAACGAACACTCGAATTCAACGAGATTTTAGGTGAGGCCCGGCGACCTCGTTGAATCCGAGTTCCACTGTACTTCCTTTGAGAACACTTTCCTTACTCACCACTCAGCCAGTGGAATCCCCAGTGGTTAGGCTATTCGGTGCTGCACTCAGGGGATTATAGTATTGTTGGTTCAGTCCCCATGCATGGAACGGGGATGTTATATTTTACTTTATCCGTCCTCTTGTACCCCTAGAGCGTCGAGGGGAGAAAAAGCTTCCTGTCTCTAGCAAGTTTGATGGCTTGGCTGGGTGGGATATTGTATGTTCTCAGGGTATCCTTCACACCCTGGATCCAGGTCTTTCATAAACATGTATGATCTAAATATTCTAAATGGTGTCATTGGGGATGTGAAACATTTTCAATCATTTGCAGTTGTAGTCTCTTGAGGTTATGCCTTGTGACTTGATAGCGTTGGTGTACTTTATCTTACTTTCATCTTCAGTTCTCGGTTCTTTCAATATTTGAAACTGTAAAATGTGAATGTTGGTTAACGTTTTAGATTTCTGGGTCGGCTGTGCTGAGCTCAGTTGGCATGTGAGCTGTAGGCAGGTCATGTGTTGTAAAATGATTCTCTTCCTCTTAGCTCTCCACCCTTTATACATCGTATCTTTTCTCTGTTTCTTCGCTTTGCATAAAACTGAATGTAAAAACAGTATCATTGATAGGACAGGGAAATCCCAACCCAAATATATTCAGGTGTTAGTCTTTGCTTATTCATTTGTGAATGATTTAGTTCTACCTGTTGAATGTAGCTCATCCCTTCACTAGCTTCAGACGGCGAGACCGACTGAAGGGTTTACAGTTTACATCAAAGAACTGACATCTGTGGCGTTGAAAGGGTTTCGAATTTATGCAGCTCCGGATACGGTCTCAAGAGTGTCATAGTGTCTATGTCACTTTAACAGATCTCGTGAAAAGTTATTGAAATGAAAGTACAGCTTTCTGGTGATGAAAGTTAACCCTTAAGAGGCAGGTCCAGCTCGCTGGTGATAGATCTAGGTCTCGTCCAAATTACATGAATATGGAGATGTTTTATGGTTTGTTTGTTTGAAGTTTTATTAATTTGACTTTTTGCTTGGTTTGGGGAGGGGGGGGGGTAATTTTGGTGCGTTTTTTAAATCCTTGTTGTTGTTAATTACAGCTGTTTTTTCGGGGGGGGGTAATATAAAGAGATCCTGGCTTTTTTTTTTTTGATGACTAAGTCTCACTTCAAACATAGACAACACCCTGCATGGAACAACATAGAGAGATAGCCTATACTAAGGTTAAAGGGAGCACTTATATAAATCCTGATAAAAAAAAGGAGGGAGGGAGGGGGGGGGGTAGGAGTGTCGGCGGGCCGGGTTACCTGACGGAGCCTCGCGTTGTCGCTCAGGTGTCTGAGGGACCGAACGAGCGGAACAGATGTTCAATGTGGTGCTGGCGGTGGGTGCCCCCTGCTCTCCTCTACTCGCTACAACACGAACAGACAACGCGATCGTTTTGACTTTGGCGCTACGGGGGACACATTAAAAATACAAGCGTTTCTGCCGCTCCATCGGCTCTCGTTTGTATGGCGCCTCGAGCACGCTGGTACGGAAACACTTCGGAGAAACATTGGCTGGAAAGGGGTTTTTCTTTTAACCGTGGGAGCTGGGCGAGCACTCATTTCCTACAGAATTTTGGCGCATTCATTTCTGATGAACCGGTTTAGGCTGTCGCGGGTTTGCTTACGTTTATAAGAATCATTCTTCCATTTTTATCTCTATTTCTTCAGTGTTTTCTGGTCCTAGTGACGGGCCTCGTCCTTTTCTTACTCTCTCAGTGCTTACCGGTCCAGTATGATTCATGGTTGGTTGAAAGGCAGCTTGATAGGCACTACTTCTTTTCTTTCTCTCCGTTGTTTATATTTTGTTCCTTTTTTCCCGTGCACTAAATGTTATTTAGCCGATGCGCCTCTCTTTACTCAATCTCATACTGAATGGCTCGCACTGAAGGGCACAGGAAAAACAAACCCTCCTTCTAGATCTATGTGCAAAGGCTGAGAACCTTGTTGGCATTGCTGGCACAATAGTCAGTGGGTGGTTGGCGGGTGCTCTGGTGTGGTTTGCTTCTTTCTTATCAAACGTCTATCTTCCTTATCACCCCTTCTTCTTTTTTATGTTTGTTACTCTCTTGTAACACCTCTAATCCTATGGCGTTCATATGATCTTATGCGCCGAAAAAACTCTAGAATCTACTTAAACGAAAAACAATAGTCAGAACCATTCTGTAAAATGGCCATGAGATCAATTTCGTATCAGTTATGTGTAGTATTTATCACTGTCCCCGTGGTTTTATGCACCCGCATAATTTAGCTAAATTTGATCATTTTTTGCATAATTTCTAATTATTTTTCGTTATCATTCTCTGTTAAAATTAACTGAATCGCATAATTTTACATTCTTGGGCCTCATTTTGCATAATTTCAGAATTTTCCATGCATAAAACAACGGGGACAGTTATCACCAACTCACGAAGCATTTATATCTCTTTTTGAAAAATAGCCCGGCAGTTCGGATATCTGAACTGAGATTTACCCGATCAACCAGTCCCCAAGTGAGAATCTGCCCCCCCCCCCCACCCCCCACCCGCCCCTCGCCTCCAGCCTGACAGACAGAATAGGGGCCACGGGATAGCTCAGAGGGCGCCGGCCTCCAGGGCCTTTGTTTGATGTGACATTTGAGCGCTTGCCACAGGTGTGAGGAACTCAACCCGACAACTAGCACCTTCTCTTTTCCTCCTTCCTTCATTCTTCCTTTTTTCAGAGTGTTTCTCGCTCTTTTTTCGTGTTTTATGATTTGTACCTCTTGAGTATTCGGCCAGCGTACAAGCTCGTACCAGCACCAGCTCTCTCTGTCCGTACTCTCTCACTCTTTGAGGAAGATCATAGGAAAAAGACAGTGGTGTGGGGTGAGGTGCCTGTGGGAAAGTTCACGAAATGAGTTGTTGTAGTGGTGCCCTTTGGTGATAGCTGAGAGCGGAAGAGTGGAGAAGACATCCTACCTCGTAGTGCTGTGAAACTCATGTGTCAGGATAACATGCTTCTGAGGTCTAAGGTGAGTGGCTGTCGATCGGTATGATATGGATGAGTGGTTGAAGGGCGCCACTTGTTGTAGATTGTATTTGTAGGTCCTTATTCTTTACTCATCCCTCTTTTGTTTTATACGTGTCTTTTTTTTTTTTCTTAATACAAAATGACCAATAATATTGTGTGGATGAGCTTGTCTTGAATTCACATCTCAAATTAACTTAGGAAAAGCTACTCGTTAGGGTTATCTACGACCTGCAACATAGGAAAAGCTACTCGTTTGGGTTACATGCAACCTGCAACTTAGGGAAGTTACTTGTTTAGGTTACCTGCCAACCATAAGCGCATCTAGATCTAGAATGGATCTATCTACCAATATTATGTTAACGTTCTTTTATCAGATTTCTGTGCTTCAGTTAAACATCGATCAAACTTTCTAGTGTGTGTGTGCGCGCGCGCGCGTACGCGCATGCGTGTGTGTGGGCTTAACATTTTTCTCTTGGATATAAAGATGTATTCTACATGAAAAAAATCTTTATTTAAAAAAAATTCCACTCCGCTAGTCTTGTTGTTGCTTGGGGATTAGATCTACATGTGATAAAGAAGACAATCCTTTTCCAGTACATGTGTAATTGGTCAGCTGTGAGCACTGCTCGGCTCAAAAAAATAAAATGGGGGTGGGGTGGGAGTTGCGCCTTTTTCGAAATGCCAAGTTCCTGTGTTCGAAGTCTCCAACTGGGAATTCGCAATTTTCTGTTTGCCAAGGTAGATCTAGATCCGAAAATGCCTTGTAAGTTATATATCTAAAGTCGAAAGCAACTAAGTGTGTGTGTGTGTGTGTGTGTGTGTGTGTGTGTGTGTGTGTGTGTGTGTGTAGCGCGCTGTGTGAATGAGAGAGGGGGGAGGAGGGTATGATGAACGTCGTCACATACGTTAAATTGTTTTGCAGTAAGTTAACTAAATGCAAGCGTGTTCCTCCCTGTCGTCACTCCCTCCCTCTCTCTCTGTCTGCCTGTCTGTCTGTCTGTCTGTCTGTCTGTCTGTCTGTCTGTCTGTCTGTCTGTCTCTCTCTCTCTCTCTCTCTCTCTCTCTCTCTCTCTCTCTCTCTCTCTCTTTCCCCTCTCTCTCTGTCTGTTGTTTGGCCACCGACACAGCCGTGTATGTCACAAGGTCCTCCTCTCCTTTATTTATTCTACTCGCTGAGACAAATCTTCGTTTTCCGGTTTGTTTTCCGAAGGGCTGGGCTATCATGAAGACAATCCCAGGCCACGTTGGCGTATATAATAGAGAGACAGAGCACAGAACGAAGCGTGGTGGTTGCCTTCCTCCGCATTGCCTGTTGTGGGAATATACTACAGTTTGAGAAAAGGACGCGTCGACCGATACGATAATGTCATGCTCTATAATATAAGGCTGAGAGTGAGAAATTCCGGAAAATGAACACAAGGAAATATTGGACAGAAATAAATAGTAGCCGGTAAACCGATGCTGTTTAGCGACTCGCAATGTGATATATGTCATTCTAGACATACCTCGCCGTTTCTGATGTTATGGTGATTTCGGTAAGTTTTCCTTTGTTCATTCGCTTTCTGACGTGCACATTATTATTGTATTATTATTGTTATCACCATACCATACTATACCATACCATACCATACATACCATAAGAGTAACATGTCATGCCGTACTCAGCGTGCCATACCAACCCATAGTACCACATGGTACTATACCCCATACCTTACAGTAGGTTGCTTTAGTTTGTATTTGGCGGTTTTGTTCTTTGTTTTGTTTTAATGTGTGTGTGTGTGTGTATGTGTGTGTGTGTGAGAGAGAGAGAGACAGACAGACATACAGACAGACAGAGAGACAGACAGACAGACAGACAGACAGACAGAGAGACAGACAGACAGACAGATAGAGAGAGAGAGAGAGAGAGAGAGAGAGAGAGAGAGAGAATGTTGTGTGTGTGCGTGGGCGTCTGCATTATTAAGCTGCGATTAAGCAGTGAATTATTTTGAGTTGCAGAAACTCGTGAAAAAATATTACCAAGATATCCAAAGAGAGATCGGAGAGCATCTAAATGTCTTAATTATCTAAACTTGTATTTCATTCAACAGAATCGCCTTTCTCACCCCTGGCCAGGATATATGCCACCCACAAACACTTTCCACTTTTCTGTATGGCTCTGCCATTCTTCTCCCCCC